TTCTATGCTTCTAGGCAGCTAAGCAATTACGGGACTTTGCTGATCAACTTCTACCACTCGTTGAGATGGAGAAAGTGGATTATTGGAGGAAATAAACTGGTCTTTATATCTTTTACAGTCTTTGTACATTTTTGATGTTGATTTATTATTTGCATAAAGTTTTTGACCTAAAATTTATGTATAGCACTAATATTCAGGCTCAGCTCCTTGATTACTCAAAAAATTTTTTTTTCAAAAAGTGCAAACCACTTCCTTCTAGACGCGTTATGACAGATGTTGCTGAACATGAGATTACAGACGTAAATGATGAGAAAAATGGACAAGGAACGGCAGTTGATGGAGAACGTATGAGTTTTTAAGACTAAAATTTCAAAGAATCTAGTTCTTCCACTAGAAATAAATCTTTGCGATCTTACAGGCACTGAACCTAGCTCAGAATCCAACAAATCGGAAGATGACCATTCTGGATATTGTACCAGAGAACAGCCAGACAAAGATCTCAATGAAGGTTAGAAGAAGTTTTCCAATAATTTTTAATTTTAGTCTGAGAAAATCTAATTTTCTTTGTTACAGCTGCTACAGGTGATGAGAAACCTAATAAGAGGAAGCTGAGACTAGCAGTTGCTGGTTGTGCTCATGGTGAAATGGATAAGATCTACGAAGTTCTGGCTGAGATTGAAAAGGAAAAAGGCTACAAATTTGATCTGCTCATCTGTTGTGGCGATTACCAGGTAAGTTAATAACCCTTTTCTAACATTTTATTGAGTTACCTTTCGTTTCTATAGTCAGTGAGGAACTATGGAGATCTTCATCACATGCATGTAAACGAGAAATATCGATCAATACAAACATTCTACAAGTATTATTCAGGTGAAAAGGTAAGGCTTGAAGGTTTTGGGTGAGATAGTCATCCTGAAATTCGAGTTACTATCTCTAGACTGCACCAGTTCTCACGATATTTGTTGGAGGCAATCATGAGGCTTCTGGTTATCTTGCAGAGTTACCTAATGGAGGCTGGGTTGCACCGAATATATACTA